TATATATATATATATATATATATATATATATATTGTAGAAGATTTTTGCTCCCCGCTGATGTCGAAGGATTTTGCTAATGGAATACAGTTCTCAATAATAAAATAGTCTTTTCCCTGTTTCAGATGGCCCAGTCAAGCTTACCAACACAAAATTTCTCCATAATTATTTAGTCCACCGCCAAATATTCAAGTTGCTCATGTCACTGAATCTGAAACTCCCACTGAATAGATCTACCAGATTAAGTCAAGGCAACTTCTGCAGGTCTGCGGCACCACTAATTGGCATGCAAAACCCTTCGTGAGCAAGAACCAGCAAAGGCCTAACCAGCTCACTCTATCAATAGATGCATGGGTGGCAAAAGTCAGGAATGCGTGGTTGCCTTACTAGATTCGATGGGTACCACCACAGGAAACTTGTTCTCCTTTCCTCTTCAGAAAAGGAAAAAAAACAAGTCCAGTGGTGTCAGCAAAGGAAAAACAATAACTGAGTCTTCTTTAAACTTGCCTATCTACATTCACAGACAAATGCTTCATGTTTGAATCTCTCTGCTTATTGTCAGCAGCATTCACAAGGATTTCATCAAAAATCTTCAAGAGCGCTGGGACATAGCGTATACTTTCCCGCCTTATTTTCTGATCTCTGCTATCGTATAAAAACGAGACCTAAAACTGACGAATTACCGCTCGTCAAAAAGAAAAATTGAAAGTGGAATTTTTAAACAGTTAAGCATTAGCAAACTAAAATAGAAAAAAATTAGTCAAAAACTACCATTTATTCCGCTAAAGTTTTGAAAATAAAAAGTCAAATCTATACAAAAATCTAACTTTTTTCAAAAGAAGTATTATTTCCGGAAAAATTACCTGTTCATCCGTCAGGGAATTTGACCCAACATAACTGTCGGACCTTAAAAGTACATGTTCTATAGGAGAGACCTTACGATACTTTGCTGCTGAAGAATTCCATCGATTGCTGCAGCGTAAGACTAAACAGAATTTGTTACAGCTGTTAAGACAATAAAGAGCATTCAAAATAATCGCTTTAAAGAGGTTAAGGACAAGAAACAATAGTTTTTGGGCACCGCAATCAAGAAAATTCAACGAGTAACCAACAACCTGCTCCGAATACAAGGCGTCGAAATCGGAAAATCATGCACGGACAGTGTTCGAAGCATCAAACCAACTCTGCAGTTAGGACGACCCGTCGTAAAAAATGGACCTGAACGTTTGACGTCCTGAAAGTGCCACTGGCAGGGGCTAACTTATGTAGGCAAGCAGCCATTTTGGCAGCGCATCTGGGAAACAATAGTATTTCAAATCAAAAATTTTGTATTTTTTTCAAACTTCTCCGAACGGTCTTCAAACGTTGCAAATTTCGAACTTTTTTCAAAATCAACAGCACCGTCGGAGCAGCTGGTTGAGCCTACTGTGGATGTGGTTTTCAATAATAAAAATTTGAAATAAAAAAGAGAGGTTAAGTTCATTACCACTTGACTTGAGTAGTTTTCTTGCAGTTAACGGGATAGTTGGTCGGCGTTCGGGTGCCTGTTTATACAAGACGCTTTTTTTGATTTAGTACGAGCAGACTTTTAAAATCAATGGTAGGTCATAAGTTTAATGCATTCTTCACTTTATTCTACGTCTCTCTTGAGCTTCGTTAAGCATTTAGTCTTATCCATTTACCTGTTCATTGAGTTTCGTCTTGCTTTTCGAGAGCTAGTAACAATATGATTTTCCGGGAATCTGAGCTTGTCAGTATCATGGCACTTTCAAACTGATCGAAAAGTAAACGTGTTAAATTTTTATGCATTTTCTCTTCCATTTCTGCTTTTCACCCTTAGGTTTCAAGTCCCTGTGCACTGCTCTTGGTACTGAAGTGGCAAATAGTTTTGCTTGCATAAAGGGATTGGCATTTTGCCATCACCCGGCAGAAAGTATGAAGTCAGGAAACAAGAATTAACTTACACCTCAGTTCTCCTTCTATTCCACAATTCTGTTTAGAGATGCAATTTTTTTTGAAATCTGAATAATGCAACAGTTGGTCAACTACATGAGAAACCGGATGACAGAAGCAAAGTTCCAGAAAATATTATGGATTAAACAGCATCGGTGATTTAAATTTAAAAAATTTAAGCATTTGTTTCTTTTGAAAATCCAGCAAGAGTGAGCATTTGAAATAACTTCTCTAAAAAAGCTTTGTTTTGACTCTTTTGAACAAAAAAAGAGCTGCTCTTGAAATAATAAATTGTACTTAAAGACAAAGAGTTACTAAAGAATTTTGTGGTTTGTATTTTTTTTAGCAGATTATTGGCAGATTCCGAGAAGGCACTTAGAAATTTACCTCATCTCATTACTGGTGTCCAAGATTTGCTAAAAAGCTTCTCTTCGAAACTTTCACTTCGACAGTTTTGGGGAAAATCCAATGTTCCCGAAGAAATGCACATATGGTAATGAGTTAATCTCACTACAACTTCAATGCGATGCAGTTTTTTAGGACACTTAAAGTGTGGCTGATTATTGAAAAATATAAATTTTGTGTTAGCCACCTTGCAGATTGTTTAGAAGTTCCAGTTTCAGTTAGTTGAACATATACTGGACGATCCAAGAGTTTTTGCAAATTAGTGTTTACTGTATATTTGTAGTCCTCCTCTTGCCTAGCATTTTCTAAAAATTAAAATTTTTTTGTTAAAATGAAAGTCGAGTGAATATGAATTTTTTGAAGAAACGATTCAAGAAACTTTGAATTGTACAACTGAATACTTTTTACGCCAGGCTTCCGTCTTTAATTAAGTAGAGTTGAGTTTTGAACATTTGCATCTTTAAAGTGCTAGACAGATCTGTACAATTTCTAATGAAGTCTCAAACATTTGACGAATTTCACTCCTAGCAGTGACGGCAACAAAATATGTGTTGGCAGTCCTTTAAGTTGAAAATTACTAGGATCCTGAAAGCAAACACTTCCCACAGAAATTTAATTTTAAAGTGGATTTTTTCTAAAAGTCTAGCAGAAGCAATTAAAAGGTGCACAAGTCAACCAGATAAGTCAATTAACATCACGCTACCATAACGTAGAATTGGCTCTTCTGACTTGCATCTTTCGCAGAATTTCAAACCGAGCATAAAAAAAATAGCAGATAGTTTTACCTCTTCCATAGCCTAGAAAAGAAGTAGACGGGGAGCAAGAGATACTGACCAGCAAAAAATTGTAGAACTCTTAAGAATGTGCAGTAATTATGATTTGCGGCATAAGACTTTGTACGTTGACTAATTCATCCTATATAAGAAATACTCCTTAGTTGAGTCTTCCTAATACCAAAATTCCAGCAACTGCTAAAGTCTTCGCAGGATCTTTGTCAGTAATTATCAGAGTAGACAACGAAGGGCTATTGGCAGAGGAGTGCCCAACCTATATTTTAAAAATAGCACTTGTTTAAGCGAAAGTCGAGTGAACGAAGTCCTTTTGAAGGAAAAAAAATTTCAGTTTTAAATATTAATAAACAATTAAATGGGATGTTATGAAGAAATTAAAAAGGAGGTTTTGCAGCAACGAATGAATACGAATTTCCGTTTGTATACATAAATGAAGCGCTTACTCCTCATCAAGAATTCTGTTTTTTTAAGTTTTTCAGAATCAGTGCAATATGTCCGTTTCATTCATGTGATAAGCGAATACATAGGATAAACTGCACTTGAAACCGAATTTTCTAAAAGGCATTCTCAAATACCGCCTTGTCTTTGAAACGAAAGATGGATTGCCATTGAGACAGTTCACAGGAAGAGGCAGACAGCACTTTATCCAAAAACAATTCAGTGTAGCTAATGTAATAAAACTTTGTGATGGAATACCAAGTGAGTACAATAAACAAAGAAGAACTGATCACTGAAGGTCAGATAGCCTTAGAATTTCTATTTTTGTCGATCAATTTTACTCTTCATGGCACTTAAAACTTGATCATTCTTACAAACTACATATCTTCCCTCCAAAAGCTGCTTTATTTCTGATCATAGGGAGAACTAGGCAGTTCAGTAGACAGTCCTTATGAAACAAAGAGAAGGCAGTTGGGTGATAACAATAAGCCTCAGACTAAACGCAAAGTTTTACATACAATTTCTCCTTTGTGCACTGTTCAAATAAAGTTTTTTTACAGAACACAACGAAGAAATGACAAAACAAATTTCGCATTCCTGGTAGGCGAGTTATTAATAAAGACAACGCTTGTAAATTCCAGAATCTAGTAAAATTTCCTAACTTGGACTCAGCAAAAAGATGATCTGTTAGTAGCGCGATTGTTTATGCAAACATTAGAATGCAGTTTCATACAGTCTTCAAAATCTTAGACTAAAATATAATATGGCGATAAAGAATAGTTATCTGTAGAGAGTGCCGACAATTTATCGACAAGTAGCGCAACAACAGTTTAAAAAGCGTACGGAAGATGTAGACTAACACGCATGGGAATCGGAAAATACTTCTAGTACCCTGGGGTTCCGATATTAACGCTTCGATTTATAAAAGAAAGTATTGAACATATTTTTGCCACCTATACGTCTGTAGTGATTTTGTAGTTGTAAAAAAAAGTTCTAAACTAGACAACTTTGATTACCACCAAAAAAGCACCTGAGAAATAAATAAAACTAGCAATTAGTAACTGACAATAAAAATTATAAAAGTACTAATAAGATCAATTCTTTTTTATCCTCTGTACTCAAATTTTAAATCAAAAGTATATGCACAAGAAAACAACTGCCTTCGGCACAGTCCGAAACATGTTTCTTTTAGGCAAGTTTTCGTAGCTGTGTTGCCTTTGCTGCCTTTCACTGTATCAATTATTGTTGGAGGAAGACGGGAGCGTTTTTTTGTGCAGTTTTTTACCGTAATTGTTGTTGAAAACTTATTTATTAGTCTTTTTGAAATGTTGATTAACTCTGGTAGGCTACTGCTTATTTTGTTTTTGGATGATACGTTTTAGATTATTTCTAATACATTTACATTCATTTATTGTACCTTGCGTTTGTTGTTCATGCCTTGAGTTTTTTCTTTAACAGTGTTCTAGTATTTCTATTTGAATTTCTTTTGAGAAGAATCTCTTTTTTCTTGTTCTTAATCTAATATTTTTCATTCACTGTAAATCAGCCAAATCCTGTGGAGTTCGTTACGCTTTATGATACATCTAAACGTATAAGATTAATTATTTCAACTTCTTTCAGTGACATTCCTCTAAAGTTTTACAGAGCTTCAAATTTCTTTTCTTTTCTGTTTGCCACTTCTGTGGCTTCAAGGCAGAAGACAAATGTCGCTATGGCTTTATTTAGTTTCAGTAGTGGTTGTATGGACCGAGTACGAAGAGCACAAGAAAACTTTGCCGGCTCTTGCTGTGCATGTGTCCAGGACATGCCAACTCCTCTGTTCCTTGCTGTGGTCATTTTCTTATTTTTGATGGCGATTCTCTTCGTTGCAGGTCTTGTTATGTGGGTAATATCTGGTCCAAAGGTAGGACTAACATTTGAAAAAAGTACTTTGGATTTGTTTTTGCCTTAGTGTTCTGAAATGAACAAACTCCTCTGCAGTATTTCAAAACCACGTCTTTTACTTTGATATGTACTCCTTATCGTTTATTCGGTACATATTTTCGTTAAGCTTTTGACAGCAGACAACGATTCGCTTTCTGGTGATGATTACGACGAAGATGAGGAGAGTGATGAAGATTTTAATGCCACGAAAGTTGCTCTCTCAGTGGTAGACTTGTTCACTGAGAAACGACCAATGTCACGCACTTTAGAATTATGTAAAAATTTTGGATTTTCATGTAGAACGCAACCGGTAAGTTTTTCGTCGCCATTTCTCACTACCTCATTCAATTTCAAATCCTAACAGAAGTCTACTTCGGATTCATTGTTCGTTTGTACAAATTGAATTTCATTATTCAGTCTAAAGTAATTGGGCTTTATCAACGATGTGATGGTTATAAGGATTGCCCAGACGGGAGTGATGAGGAGAAGTGCCAAGGTCAGGAAACTCCAGTTAACAACTGGTTGTATCAATTGTTTTCGTTGCTTTTATTCAAAAAACATTAGTACTTCACTCTAAAAAGAATTTCAAAAAATAATGTTATTGAAGTAAAAGAGGGAATCAAAGGATGCATTCTAATCATATGGCTTATTGTAGCTTGTAATACTGCTTTCAAGTGCCGACAACACCTGAATACAAAAAAAGACTATTTTCTATGTTTACGCGGTGAAACGCTTTGTGACGGTAATGAGGACTGTGACGGAGGGGAAGATGAGGAAATTTGCGGTAAAGTTTTTTTAATGTTTGTGGAGAAAAGTTTAAAAGGCTCCTGTAAAAAAACCTTCCAGAAGTTGATTTTCATATTGGCTTTGGATTACACAAATTAGTTAAAATACATTTCTAATTATCTTAGTAAGTAGAGAAATTTCGTTTTAAAACCTTATTGTTCAGAGGAACGGTGCACAGCTGATGAATACGCCTGCAGTCAAACAAGCATGTGTATTCCGTACGAATTCAAATGTGACGGCGACAAACACTGTCAGAACGGAGACGATGAAAGTGAGTGTGGTGGTGAATGCAACAATGGCGCAGTTTGGTGCCCGAACAGTAATTCTTGTCTTCCGAAGTGGAAGAAGTGTAACGGGGTTTGGGACTGCGCTAACGGAGAAGATGAAAAAGTTACGGGTATTCAGAATCAGTTCCCCTTGACCGTATCCCTTCAGTCGTCTAAGCATGCCTACTATTTGAAATTAAAACACCATAGTAAGGAATTATTTTTGACCTTGCTAAATGAAAAACATTTCAGAACTGTTCCTGTAGGGAGTGCTGCGGAACAAACAGGGCGCTTTGTGCAGGGTCTAACATTTGCATTTCACGGGAGCGCATCTGTGACGGCTATCATGACTGTCCGGATAGTGCAGATGAAGAACACTGTCCTGGCATTTGCAAAAAATCAGTTATGAAAAGAGTATGAAAATTGAGCTGATCATAATGTTGCTGACATAGATTTCTCGTACAGCTGCATATCTACAAGTCAGTTTTTTAGGAGACTATTAACACTTTTTTTTGAGATCGATACTGTCTTATGTTCGGATGGGCGCCGTTACAGTGAACGTATTGCTTGCTCAGGGATTTTGAAAGCGTGTGATGGGAAATGTGAACAGTGCAACGAGTTACACGCATTTACTTGCCAGATTGGAAGGAAGATAAAATGCATATCTCAGTCAGAGGTATATGGAGGCCCACCACGGCAATTTTCTTGAAGTGTCCAGGTTTTGGTTTCTACTAAAAATTTTTATTTAATTGAGAGTTAATTAGGTTTGCGATGGAAAGCGAGATTGTCCAGACGGCAGTGATGAAGCCGATTGTGATGAAAGAAGAGATCGACGTTGTAAAAGAAAAGCTTATGGTTCAAAATCAAAGTGGTTGACTACGGTGGGACAGTATTCAAAATATCTCAGAAATCACTTTTTTCTCTGCCACTTTGTCATTAATGAGGTGCTAAAAATTCCGACAGGATCAAGTATGTAACGGAGTTCACGACTGTATGGATAAGGACGACGAAATGAATTGCCGTAGTTGTTCCAACAATGGCTTTTACTGTGCTGGCACGCGAACTTGCTTAACAGAGTTTCAGCGTTGTGATGGTGTGATCGACTGTACAGATGCTTCGGATGAGATCGGCTGCACATGCAGTGGTTAGCAAAGTTTTTTTTGAGTCCATAAGATATTAAGTAAATCTGAAACAGTTCTAGTTGAAATCTACTTGCAGACTGCGCTTATCGTTCTCCACCTTTGTTCAAGTGCGCTAATTCTGGCAGGTGTGTTAAGTATGATGAAGTTTGCCAAGTTTGTTTAAACCAGACCCAAAGGGAGAAAGCGTTCTGTGCTCTCCGTTCACTGTTGTCGCCATCCTTTCGTATAATATGAGTAGAATTCACTCTGGTTCTGAAAATGTAAATATTTCCTGCCTGTAAAAATTTCATGCCTTAGATGATGAGTTTAAGTTGAGTTATTTTACGCCGAAGGATGTTCCTCAATGTCCTTAACAGTTCACATAGCAGTGTCTTTCATATGCTCCCTGATCAAAGATAATAGGAGAGTGTTTTTTTGTTCATGCTGTCACTTGTATTAGTAGTATCTTAAAAATTTATGGGCAGGTTTAAGTTATCTTCTTTTTGTTGTCCCTAATAAAGTTTTTCATGGATTAACTTAGAGTGCTAAAATAAAATACAGTGATTTTCAATTTTTGAGTAGTAGTTGAAAAACAAGACGTCTCTTCTCCTGTCTTGCTGGATTTCTTGTCTTTTTGTACGGCTATCAAGCAAGGTCGTAAATGGAAAACTGACGTCTAGTTCAAGTCCAGAAGCAGGATAGTTCAAGACATCTGGCTCAGAAGGTTTTATCTGAGGAATGTCTTTGATTATAACCCTTTGTAAAGAGTATTGGTTAACCTCTGAACAGTGTAGGTTGGATTTTACAACGTTTCAGATACTTTTGAATATTATTTTCAGAAATGAGTATTTGTTATCAGCAAGTCAAAATCGTTGATTACGAAGAGTACATTTAAAAAAATTTATCGCGTTTCATGAATAAATAGAGTTGGTGTGGTACCACCGTTGTTTGAGTTTTCATCGGGTAGTGAGATATCCATTTCCTTATCGTAGTGAAGTATGAAACCTGAAGAAGGCTTCGTAGATTTGGAGTAGCTTTAAGAATGCTACTTACTAAGCAGAAATAAAATTTTAAGACTGAAAGTGAGAAAAAACAACTGATAACGGTAACTGTTAATTATCTTTACTATCTAAATTATCATTTTCTGAAAGTGTTTTTTTTTAATTATTGATCAAGGCCGTGTTGGACTTTGTGAGTTTTGATGACTATTAGAGCAAACTAGAAAGCAAAAAAACTTTAAGTGGAGAAAATTGTTTTCATTTACATTATTTATACTCATTTGCTGAAAGAACTATAATTATTGCAAAATAAATCAATGAGATCACTGTATTAGCTACGTGTGGAAAGCGTTTTAGACGAAAGTCGGGAGAGCACCGCAAATGCCGGGTTTAAAATCGTGTTCCGGAAAGTGCTACGATACCGTGATGACATGCAGCTATAAAGTATAAAACCGACATTGCAGTTAATCAGCGACAGCAAATCCATACATTCACCAACATTTGTGTAGATATAGTTGGTAACATCGGATGTATAAATCGCATTTAATATTGCCAATGCACCTGAATATTTTGTATGGTATAATTGATAGGGAAGAATTTGAACACTCAGACACATTCTTGCGTTAGAAATACGGAATATTTGGCAGTAGAGTCGACTGCCATATCAATATTGAGTAAAGAGTACTTTTTGAACGTATAATTTGAAAGGACAGGGAAAATTTTGACGACTCAGAAATTTGGTTTTTACTGGTGACATTATTAAAAATTTTTATTTTGACAAAAAATAATAATTTCTAAACCTCTCCTATTTGCCACTAGTTACTTTTCTATCACTATGATTTGTCACAAAACAATGTCATGTTTATTCCTCCACATTAATGGAAGCAACCTCAAATGGCTTCACTGCAAAATCTATAACTGGTAAAAAAACAGATAGGCTGAACCGAGTTGGTTGGATGAAGTGCTAACAAATATATCTTGAGAAATGAATCGCTGTTGTAGTAACTCATTTTTATGAATACATTTTAGTGACGGTACCATGAACTTTGGTCTTTCACACTGAACAGTGTATCTAGCTCAACATAGACTTTCAGTCGCTAGTTTTGGAGAGGTTTAGATGACTGAAAACCAATTGTGCAGTAAGAGGAACCTTGCGGCAGTTCGGTGCATAGAAATACAGTTAACATCGTTATCAAAATTGTTGTAGTTTTGTCGGTTTGAAACTTGTTTCCTAGAAGATAGGCTCGGGCCTTACTCTTTTCATTTAGCCGAAACATTAATGCAATTGTGAACCACAAAAGCAATATACAGGGAATAACCTGAAAAATAAGTATTTGAAGTGAGGTTCATTCTTCTCCGGTTACGAAGGAATTTTTCAGTTAAAAATTTAAGCTTAGCTTTGATCTACTTGAATCTTCTCACTTGATGACTAACTAGCTTCTTACAGAGAAAAGTAAAAACCAAAACACCTTATTTTAAGTTCTACTGGCAAAATTTTATGTTTGGGTACTGATTATTGTACTACAGTCCCTAATGTTTGAAAAAGTCTTATTCTGACGACAGAATGATTTTGAGGAAAAATACCAGACTAGTTAAAAAAATTTACTGTAAAGTTAGTCTTAGATGCAGTAGATCTCAATACTTTCCAACATTTCGCTAAATTTTTAATTAAGGTTATTCCTTCTCATCATAGTGTCTTCTTGTCAAAAACATTTCTTTCTTACTGGTGCAGCTGCAGCAGCTGCTGCTGTTGACTGTTTGACGGTTAGAGATTTCGGCAGCACAATAATGATTATTTTTCCGCAACTTCATTTCAAATTATGCAATTCGAAATTTTAAGTTTCAGATGCTCGTAGCAAACTTGATAGAGAAGA